TCCCAGGAGCAGGTTTAGTCTCACCACTTTCAGTAGTGTAGCTGGCACGTAGCTGGTTGGAATGGTTTTAGAATTGAGTCCCTCCCTCTTTTATATTCATGTGAAAGTCACAGGTGAGTCACCTCACCTTACCCTTAGCTCAGGCGCAGGAATATAATCAGAATTGGAACAGAATCAAAGTGAAATGGTTCTTCACTGCTCCCCCTACCCAAGAGCTACACTTGGGTATAAATTTTTTTAAAAAACACAAGGTAATAACTTTTCTTCCTGATTTAGAAAGGACTTCTAGAGAAAGGAAGCATGATCAAAGACTGGAAATACCAAAAAAAAAATTATTCAAGGCTAGAGGATTTAAAAGTCAAGATCAAAGAAAGGACCAAGAGAGGGATGGAGACCTAAGACGAAGGAGAAGGCAACATCAAACTGCATTTTAAACAAGAAATAGAAATACAATAGAAAATAAATTTAATATAAAAATAACAAGCTATAGTTGCATTTTCTAATGATTAGTAACTTTTTCTTTTTTGCCAATACAAATTAAAAAGGAGCAAAGGAAGGAAGACAAAAAGATGAGAGGGAAGAAAGAAGAAAAGCAGGGATAAGTCTACCTGTGTAATCTTATAAGTAAAATGGCTTTTTTCTAAAAGCTTATTAACATAACAAAAAAGCAAAAAATATGTAGAAATTTGTCCCTGCTGGTGTGTTTTCATGAAAAACAAATTGTTTAAACTTTCCCAAAGTCCACAATATAAACTTAACAACCACTGAGAGAGGAAATCCTGAGTTCTTATTTAGTCTAAATTTCCACTGAATTTCACTAAGATATATAAGTAAAAATATCAGCTATAATACTGTGACTCAAAGGAAAAGATTATCTCTCTTTAACAGGGAAAAACTGAGTTCAAAGATTAGATTCAAAGTGTTTTTCATTAAAAGTCAATTTATTATACCCATATTGTTTTAAAATGTTTAATGTACTGCAGAATTGTTTCCAATAGCATCCTTAATAAGTTCTACAAGGAAACACCTACAACCATTAGTTCAAAGTAATGACAAGAGAGGGATATGGACAAAATATTAGGTTGAGATTGAAAAACAAAACAGATGTCTTCCCTCTCCATCCACTTAAACAAAACTCATCTCCATCCTACATGGACGACTATTAGCAGCTGAGAATTTGCCTTTGTTCATCATCTCCCACTATCCTGGGACTGGTAACTCCTTGAGAATATCAAAAGTTGTTTCTTAAAAATATTCTGAATTGGAATTTTCATGTGCTAGCCAGCATTTAATGACATGTTCTACAGGTGATTCACTGAAGCATTTGAGATGGTTAGAGCTTGCATTAGGTTATGTGTATATAAACATACACACTCATAGAAAGTTATAGTTTATCATCCCCTGATTTAAATGTATTTATGTGAAATAAAGAAGGTAGGCATACCTTAGGACATTTCTTTTTATTTTTCTAATTATTAATTTATTTATTTTTAAAGAGATGGGAAGGGAGGGAGAGAGGGAGAGAAACATCCATGTGTGAGAGATACATCAACCAGCTGCCTCTCACATGCCCGCAACAGGGGACCTGGCCTGCATCCCAGCCATGTGCCCTGACCAGGAACTGAACCAGCGACCTTTGGCTTCACTTGCCGAGCTCGATCCACAGAGCCACACCAGCCAGGGCATCACTTAGGACATTTATATAACTGATGCATAAAAGCTCATCTTTGAGATCCTGAAGCATTGTCTCCAGCTCTGAAAGCAGTCCCTTGCACTGTGTGTCATATCTCTAATACAACAGCTATTCAGCGAATGCTACTTCTTATAAAACAAACAAACCCTTCCAACTTTATCGGTAAACTCCCTAAATTTGTAAATTTCTATTTTTACTATTCTTTTTGTTATGTTAATAAGTCTTTTAGAAAAATTAATTTGACCTATAAGGTAAGATAGCTTAAGAGAAGTAAAGTAGCAAAAAGAACTAACATATGTGAGAGAATCAGATAGGACTCAAAGAGCTTAATAGCATCTTCAACTCCCGTATCAGAGATAAAAGGGTATATGACTATTTCAGAATGTTATCAGATTTATGCATTTATTAATGACTTACCTAAATGACTACTTTTAGCATTATGGAGTATAGTATTAAGGTGGAGGTAGTGTTATCATCTACTGTAACTGTTATTTAAGATCCTTTAGCTTAATCTGTCAAAAGGAAATTAAGCATTAAAACAATTCGTTAATCAGAGTAATCAACTTGAATAGTAAAATTCCCAACTTGGTTTCATATGGTCTGTCTCACATGGATATCAATGAATAATTATATATTTTATATATACACCTAAGCAATTATATAATTATTTAATTTTAAAGTCCAACGGTGCAACTAAAGTTCTCATAATCACATCAGTCCAGTCTGTTGTCTAGTTGCTAGTAAAATTCAACACAAAATACGTGTTTTAGGGTAAAAATGCAAAAAATTCACCAAACAAGTATTTTCCTTCCCTCTCCCCTCTGATATTTAGAAAATTTGCAAATTAATTTAAGTCAAACATGATAAAGGAATGAAATTATTCCTTCGGGCTTAGAAGATTCTGTGCCAAGTTTCATTTTTGGCTGCATATTTTTGACCAAGTTCATGAGTCCTGAAAAGAAATACACAGAAGAGAAAATATCCCTTTCAGCTCAAGAGAGCAAGATTCCCAGAGGCTGCTAAGGGAAGAGAAGGGCTTCTGCCTGGGGATGGGTGTGCTCCTGGTGTCTGGTTTCCACAGAGAGGATGCCTGCTCTCTCAATGAATTTGAAGTAGCTACTACGATGAGGTAATGGCTGTGCCAGTTTCACTGGGTCAGACTCTCTCAGCACATTCTTTCTGCTTCTCCTCCCTGAGAAGGTGCTGTAAACAAGCCATCCCAAGAGAGTTGCTGCAGAGAATGAACACATCCTAAATTTGAAATTCCTGGGAACACTGGCTCTGCTTTGGGTAGTCTAGACATAATTAGGAGCTTAAAGCAGCACAGACAGCCAGAAAGAAACAGGTTATTTGACCAGAAGACAGGGTGGGGGTGGGTGGATAAGAAAGGAAAGAAACAAAGAAAAGAAAAAATAATATAATCAAAAGACTATTTGTTTTAAAAAAAAGGAGGCTCAATTTTTAAATTGCTTAGATAACCAGATTTCACCAATTTTCTACTTAGGAGGTTTTAAAAACTTTCAGAAATTAAATATTATAGCAACCGGTGAAATACTACCAATTAAAATTAAGTAAACCATGTACCAATGATCCTAAAGGCACAATAGCTCTGATAATACGCAAATCATGAATACAGATGTAAACCTATGATAATTAGAAAAAATTACCGGAATCAATGTTAAAATACATGACTTCCAAATTCATAAAGATTTCTACCAAAAGACATAGATGCCTATTGCTCCCTTAAAGGGGCGCTTTGTGTCACATTCAGGTTAAAGAATGTAACCTTCCTCTTGGGCATTCTAAAGAGCTTTTGTTTATTTAACCTACTTCATTGCCCAAAGAAATGACAGGGTGGCAGAGCCATGCTTTATGCTGGGCCATACCTGCAGCTCAAGCATGGGACATTTTGCATAATACGGTTCACATAAAAGGCTTTGTTCTCCATCGCCTCACTGCGGCAGCAAACCTCAATTTCACTCTGTCGTCACTGCCTCTCCCAAAGTGATCATTTTTAAACAGATAATACCTTTAACACTGAAGTTAGTTCCTTACCAACATTTATCAATCCCTCTGCCTCACACTCAAAATTATGTACCACCACCAATATATTTTTTTTGTTTTGCAGTACAGATTTCATTTACACCATAACTCCTAAACCCTGAGAGACAAATTTTAAAAGATTTCTCCTTTGCATGCCCACTCTTTTGTCATAGCATGTACATAGCGTATTATATATGTGTATGTGGACGTGTGTGGTGTGCACACGTGCATGTGTGTTCATGAGTGTGCATGTATATACATTTAAACAACAACCTGTCATATTGAGTCATTTCCAACAGTCTATGTCCTCAGGTTACAAATGGACTTGTTGCCAATGAAAGCTTTTTATTTTCTGATAAAATCCTGAAGCCCCAATGCCAGGCAGTATAACATCAATTTCCAGTTTTCAAGGATGTTTTTCCTCACCCTATCTGCTTTACCACCCCCACCCACCCACCCAAACACACACTTCCCCACTCCTCTTACACACACTCACTGTAAATGTCCATCCTTAAACAAAAGACGAAGTTGGGGAAGGAAGGCACCCCACACTGCAGCCCCCCAAAAGGACTTTTCTTAAAAAGTGAGGAAAAGGAAAGAATAAAGGCACTAGAGATGCAGCTTTCCACCCCCATGGTTCAACAAGGAAGACTGTGTGGATGCTCAGGCTCAACCAGATTCATTTTAGAGTCCCGCCCTGCAACTCGACCAGACATTGATTTTTCATTTTCCTAAAATTATAAATATTTATCAATCTTCCTTTCCAGCTGGAAGAATAACAGGGAAAAGGATTCGAAATGGACCAGCCTGCCTAACTCATTCCTCCGTGTGCCATCTCTGCAGCTAGATGGACAAAACAATCCTCTACCTGGAAATCCTTTTTTTCCCCCCATTATCTTTTTATAAGTCACGCCTTGTCTTTCTGCACTTCAGGTAATATTAGCTCTCCAGACACGTATCCTAACGCGAAGTAAATTTCCGGGCGTTTCACAGTGGTACCTACCAAGACCGCACGCTCTTCTACCAATCTAGAGCCCAGGCAAGCGCGGTCGGTTCCCTCTTCCGTGGTGACACCTGGACAGGCCGGGCCTGCAGCCTCCGTCAGGTGGCAGACGGCTCGGCCAACCTGTGCCTGCTCCCAAAGCACGGCGGGCGAGACACCCCCTTGCTTATTCCCACCCCATTCCTGGCTGAGGCTCCCTCCACGCGGGAACGAGGCAGCAGAGGCGCCCTATATAGAACCAGAGGTGGGGACGGCTCTTACCTGCGCGCTGGTACTGGATGCACCCGCGGTCGCCGCTGCCACCGCTCACGGCCCCGAGGACCTAATGCCCCCCGGAGAAGAGAGGAGCGGGAGACGGGGCAGGGGAAGAAGGAGAAGAAGAAGGAAAAGATGGAGAAAGGAGCGGAAGGGAAGAAAAGAAAGAGGAGAGGAGAGGGAGGAAGATGCTGCTGCTGCTGCTGCCGCCGCCGCTGCCACCGCCGCCGCCGCCCCGGCCCGGGAGCCCGCGCAGCCCCAGCGTCCGGCCCAGTCTGAGCGCCGCCCCCGCCGCCCGCTCCGGCGGCAGCCGGCCCCGCCCCGCCCCGCCCCTCCTGTCCCCCCCGCCCCAAGTCCCGCCCGGCTCTGCCACCACCGCAGTGTCCGGGCGGGGGAGAGCCACTGCCACGCCCCCTGCCGCAGCCAGCCCGCCGCCCTGCGGGAGCCACGAGCGTGGCAGCCTCACAGCTCCTGCCAAGCCGCGGCCACATGCGGTCATGGGGATGCGGGAGCCTTCCATAGAATTTCCCCTCCACCGCCACCCGCAAAGGGAGGCCCATGAGGTCGGGACAGAGACCCCAGAAGACCTTCCTCACCCACGTCCTTAGGGAAGTCAGTTTTCGAGTCCCCCACAAACACCCCTCCTTCCCTCCTCTATCACTGTGGGCCAGAGGCGCCTGTCACCGCTCTGGGGACGAGACTCACTGGCCTTGCCTCCACAAGGCTAACAACAGTTGCATCCAGAAACGACAGAAGAAAATAGGGGGGAGCAGGAGAAAAGAGAACACCTCTTGCCTGTACTAAAAGACCAATGGCTGAGGGTGTAGAGAATTCTAGACCTAGTTCCGTCCACTAATCACTCATTCATTTACCCATTCAACAAATGTTAATTGTGTTTGATTACGCATCAGGCCTTGTTCTAGGCACTGTGGACACAATCTGTAAATGAAACCGAATAACACTGCTGCTCCCCCACCTCCAAAAAAAAATACCCTCCTGCTTTCATGGACCTTGCAGTCCAAAGAGTCAGCCGGTGGTGTGATAGAGAGACAGCTCACTGTAACCTAAATCTCAGCGTATGCATGCGTTAAATGAAGATTTAACAGCATGTCAGCCCTGCCCCTCTGGCATGCTTACTGTGGTGTCATAATTAGATAACAAGGAAGAGTCCGTGAAAAATATGAAGAGCAATACAAATGTAATAGAGAACACAGAAAATGTTGACTTAGAAATGTCATCATTTAAGAAAATCACCACTTAAAAACATTTGAAAGTGGACTGAGAAAACAGATGATTCTTTCCCATGGAATGTTCAGATGAGAGAACAGTACTTTACTGTAAGAGAAATGAAATAAGATGCAACTTTAGAATTGCTTCAAATTGAGTACGTTTTTATGGTTAGCCAAGATGGTGAGATGGGGCTTGTCTAGCTCCCACAGTGCCAATGGAACAGCAGTAATAATTTGGTTTTGTCCCTGAGGTCAGCCATGGAATCATAGAACCATTGAACATGAAAGTTGATTTCTTAGGCATTTGGTCCAACATCTTCTTGATGTTTTTCTATAATTCTTATTATCAAGCTTTTCAAACCAGTTCCCTCTGTTCACATGGAAAAGAGGCCAAAACATGGGATTAGAGACTCTTAACAGAGCAAGATCTGAAATCTTGGCATCCAGAGTCACACCCCGTACTCTGTGCATGTTTTTTCCCTCCACCCAGCTTTATCCCATGTCCCTGGGACACTTGCAGGGAGGTTGGAAGTATCAGGGCACATCCAAGTAGCAGGGAGGTTGCAGTTCTGGCTCGTCCTCAGAAGGAGGTTTTAGGAGACTATGAAATGATACATAGTATATGGAGGGAAGAAAAGAATCAAAGTCCTGCTAGAGTGTTAACCGTTTTCATTCAAGGCCTGGCATGCATGCTGCACATATTCATTGAAAGTATCTCTCCAAACCTATGTAGTCAATTATTGAGTGTTTCTCAGTTTCTATTAACTTTCTGCTATCTGACACAAGGACCAGAGTCCAAAAAAGGAAAGTGCTCCTTCTACCTTCCTTCACTTCAGGCAGAATTTCCCTGGGGCTCCACTAACTCTGAGCTTAAGGTACACAGGCACAACTTTAGGAATTAAACACAATCTTGCCAATCCTGACTGTCTGCAAACCAAAATATTGTTTCGATTATTCCAGCTTTACAGTTAGTCTTGAAATCTGGTATTGCAAGTCCTACAGTCTTATTCTTATTTTTCAAAATTATTTTGAATTGTCTAGTCCTTTGCATTTTCATAGAAATTTTGGTGCCAACTTGTCCATTTATATAAAAAGGGTGTTTTTAAGTTAAAATTGTGCTGAGTTTGTAGGTCAATTTTTAGCAGAATTGCTATCTGAGCAATATTGAGTCTTTCAATCTGTGAACATGATGTAGAGTTCTACTTATTTAGTCTTCTTGATGTTTTTCTATAATTCTTATTATCAGGCTTTATTTCTCAGAGCAGTTTTATGTTCACAGAAAAATGAAATAGAAAGTATAGAGTTTCCAATATATTTCCTCCCCCTCCCCCCACCCACAGTTTCCCCTATTATTAACATCTGCATGGATGTGTTATATTTGTTACAATGTATGAACCAAACTTCAGATATTTTTATTAATAAAGCCATAGTTTAGTTTAGGTCTCACTTTTGGTGTGGCTTTGGGGGTTTTGATAAACGCATACTATCATGTCTCCACCATTACAGTATTATACAAAATAGTTTCACTGCCCCCAAAATCTCCTCTGCTCTACTTGTTCCTCTCCTCATCCTTGTCTCCTCCCTGCCCAGGAGTCATATAGTTAAAATCACACATTACATAGCTTTTTCAAACTGGTTTCTTTCACTTAGCAGTAAACATCTGCAATTTCTCCTTTTGATAGCTCATTCCTTTTAACCTCTGAATAATATTTGACTTTATCAACATACCAGTTTATCTACTCATCTACTGAAGGACATCATGATTACTTCTAATTTTTGACAATTATGAATAAAACTGCTATAAATGTTCAAGTTCAAGTTTTTGTGTAGACAATTGTTTTCAATTCATTTGGGTAAATACATAGGAATGCTATTGCTGGATTTTATAGTAGACTATGTTTAGCTTTATAGGATACTGCCAAACTGTCTTTCAAAGTGGTTGAACTTTTCCACCAGCAATAAATGAAAATTTCTGTTGCTTCATATTCTCTACATCACTTAGCGTTGTCAGTGCTATGGATTTTAGCCTTCCTAATAGGTGTATACTTGTACCTCATCGCTGTTTTAATTTGCAACTCCCTAATGACATATGATATTGAACATTTTCTCATCTTTATTTGCCACTGGTGTATCTCCTTGGTGAAGTGTCTATTCAGATCTTCAGTCTATTTTTTAAAATTGAGCTGTTCTGTTATGCCAAGTTTTAAGTATTCTTTGTATATTTTGGATATAAGTCCTTTATTAGAGATGTGTTTTGCAAATATTTTCTCCCAGCTTCTGGCTTATCTTTTCACTCATTTAATAGTGTCTTTCACAGAGCAGAATTTTTTAATTTTAATGAAATTTTTTATCTCATAGATCATGCTTTTGAGGTCATAGTTAAAAACTCATTGTCAAACCCAAGGTTACTAGGATTTATTTTTCCTATGTTATCTTTTAAAGTTTAACAGTCTTGTGTTTTATATTGGTCAGGCTGCTATGACAAAAATACCAAAAACTGGATGGCTATAAACAACAAAAATTTACTTCTTACGGTTTCGGAGGTGGGAAATCCAAGAGCATGGCACCAGCAGATTCAGCGTCTAGTGAGAGCCTGTTTGCTCAGGGATAGCAGCTTCTTATTGTGCCTTCACACAGCGGAAGGGGCAAGGAAACTTTCTCTGCCATTTTTATAGACCACTGATCCCATTCATGACGCCTCCACCCTTATGACATAAGAACCTCTCGAATCCCCAACTCTCAATCCCATCACATCAATTTCAATATATGAATTTTTGGAGGGACACAAATATTCAGTTTGATATAGCAAAGCCTATGATTCATTTTGAGTTGATTTTTGTGAAAGGTTCACAGTCTGTGTGTAGATTCACTTTTTGCATGTGTATGTACAGTAGTTCTAGCACCATTTGCTGAAAAGCCTACCTTTTCTCCATCACATTACCTTTGCTTCTTCATCAAAAATCAGTTGACTATATTTGTGTGAGCCTATTTTAGGTCTCCCTCTTCTGTTCCATGGGTCTATTTGTTCCTTGCCAAGGCTACACTGTCTTGATTACTACAGCTGTACAGTAAGTCTTGACATTAGGTAGCATCAGTCCTCCAACTTTGTTCTCCTTCAATACTGCATTGGATGTCCTGGGTCTCATTCCTTTCCATACAAATTTTAGGATAAGTTTATCCATATTCATAAAGTAACTTGCTGGGATTTTTTGGCTGGGATTGTACTGAATCTACAGATCAAATCTGGAAAAACTGACATCTTGACAATATTGAGTTTTCCTATCCATTTATTTATATCTTCTTTGATTTCCTTAATGAGAGAGTTTATTGAGTTTTTTTTTTTTTAGTTTTACACATATTTTGTTAGATTTATATCTCAGTATTATTTTTGGTTCTAATGTAAATAGTATGTTTTTAATTTCAAATTCCAATTGCTCATTGGTGTGTATAGGAAACAAATTGACTTTTTTATGTTAACTTTTTATCCTGTAATCTAGCAATAATCTGTTATTAATTCCAGGAGATTTTTTTATCTATCTTTTGGCATTTTTTACATATACAATCATGTCTCCTGCAAACATACCCAGTCTGTATACCTTTTATTACTTTTTCTTATCTTATTGCAGTAGTGAGGACTTCCAGTATGATATTGACCAGAGAGGTAAGAGGGGACATCCTTGCCTGGGTCCCAACCTTGGGAGAAAACACCCAGTTTCTCACCATTAAATGATGTTAACAAAAGGTTACTTGTAGATGTTCATTATCAAATTTAGAACATTCCCCTCTAAGTTTGTTGAAAGTTTAAATTGTGAATTGGGGTTGGATTTTTATCAAATAACTTTTCTAAACATTTATTTGATATGATCATATGATTTTTCTTCTTTGTCCCTTGATTTGACAGGTAAAACTGTAATGTGTTTGATCTTTCAATGTTGAAAAATTTATACATTGTGGATTAAATTTGCTAATATTTTGTTGAGAAGTTTTG